GGTACCAGACTAAAAACTAGGAGATGGTGAGTTCTAGTCTAAACTTAGGCCTGAAGCCAGCTGGATGGCCTTGAACCACTCACTCACTCTCTCTCTCTCAACCCTAGAAAGCAGGCACTTCTGAAAACTTGCCAAGAAAAATGCAGGGACTAGTCTTGGCAGTTGCCAGGAAACACCACTGAGATTGAAAACAGCAAGAACAAAAATGAGTTGCACCCAGTGGTGGGTTCCTCCCAGTCCGGTTCGGCCGAGCTGGAAGCAGTGACGATATGACGTCACTGAACTGGTTCTCCCCCCCCCCCACGTTATTCTTACCTTTTATTTGGCCCCACCCCCAATCTATTGCTGCCTCCTGAGTCCCAGCTGATGACTAGAGGGAAAAAAACTGTTTAAACTCTTGCCGCGGGGCTTCAAAGGGCCGTCCTACAGCTGATCAGTGTTAAAAGAAAACAAATGAATCGGGTCGTAAGTGTGAGGACTGGTCGTAAGTGTGAGGACCTTCCAGAAATGACTCTGACCAGCTAGCCACGCCCACCTAGTCACATGACCTCCAAGCCACACCCACAAAATAAGCCACGCCCACAGAACCGGTAGTAAAAACTTTTAGAACCTACCCCTGATTGCATCCACATGTACTGGAAGAGCCCAATAGCAGTTTAGTGGCATAGCTGTCAAAGCCTATGACTAAGAGGGTCCAGGATCGGATCTGGTCTCCATCATGGAATTTTGAGGTGATTTTGAGCTACTTCCCACCTCTACCTTCCAGGGTTGTGGTGAAGGTAACATGAAGAGAGGTCTGTGTTTAGAATTCCTTGAGTTCCTGGAGAAGAGATGAGATACAACAAAAACTCAACAAAACTCAGACAAAACTCAGACAAAAACTGTGTGTTATCCTTGATGGGGATACTCAAATTTGCATTTTTAAAAATTAGGTGAGGTTAGAATGTATTGTTGCTATTTTTGCTGCCTGTGTGCCTTTAAAGGTAAAGGTTGCCCTCGCACCTATATGCTAGTCGTTCCCGACTCTAGGGGGCGGTGCTTATCTCTGTTTCAAAGCTGAAGAGCCAGTGCTGTTCGAAGACATCTCTGTGGTCATGTGACCAGGACGACTAAAAACGCCAAAGGCGCACGAAGCGCTGTTACCTTCCCACCAAAGGTGGTCCCTATTTTTCTACTTGCATTTTTTTACGTGCTTTCAAACTGCTAGGTTGGGCAGAAGCTGGGAAAAGGAACAGGAGCTCACTCCGTTACGTGGCACTATTTTTTTATTTATTTTATTTATTTATTTATTTTAATTTGATTTATATGCCGCCCTTCTCCGAAGACTCAGGGCGGCTTACAATGTGCTCAGCAATAGCCTTCATCCTTTTGTATATTTATACAAAGTCAGCTTATTGCCCCCACAAACTGGGTCCTCATTTCACCTACCTTAGAAAGGATGGAAGGCTGAGTCAACCTTGAGCCTTGGCGAGATTCAAACCCTGCAGTAATTGCAGGCAGCTGGTCTTAATAAGCTTAATAACAGGGTGCCTTAAACCCCTGTACTACCAAGGCTCTAGGGATTTGAACCGCTGAACTGCTGACCTTTTGATCGACAAGCTCAGCATCTTAGCCTCTGAGCCACCGCATCCCTCTTTTGTGCCTTTACCAGAAACCTATTGTGTAGAAAGAACAAGTGAGGTATTCTTTCACCACTTTATCTTTGTGCCTATAAAAGTGCCTACTAAATTTCCATATAAAGCTGCTTCTGATAAAAGCACAACATTAGACAAGAAGGGAAAAATAACCCAAATGCCAGACTGCAAAAACAACAAATATGATCAAGGAACATCCTTTTATGATTAGAAGCCAATGAAGTATTTTTGGTATTAGGAAAATATTTTCCTGGCCTCTAGCCCATCAGTATACAGTATTTTGAATTAACTGGTGTCTCTAAAGACTACTTAATGGACCATGTGCTATAATGCTAACTGTTATCAGAAAATAACAAAAATGCTGGTCAGTTTACCTTTCTTCAAGGCAGGCCATAGCTGGCATACCAGCTAAGCCTGAACTGCTCAAAACTGGCTTGTTCCCTGCTAGGATTTTCCCCAGCAGGATCCTAGAATTCTCAAGATTACAGTAAGAAATGTCTAATTGCTTCAGATTACCCTGCCGCTACGTACTTAGATAATCTTGTTGAGACCAAGAGCATTTCTTCTCCATAAAGATTTTCAAGTTCCACATCTTGGATACTTCCCAGGTTGCACTTTTGAGGTAAACTGGGATTGCAAATTCCAGTATTCTCTGCCTGAAGAGATTATTGCCTCAGAATGAAAGGGGTTGCATCAAGTGGTGGGATTCAAGTAATTTAACAACTGGTTCTCTGCCCTAATGATTTCTTCCAACAACCAATTTGCCAAACTGCTCAGAAAGTTAACAACCGGTTCTCCCGAAGTGGTGGGAACTGGCAGAATCCCACCACTGGTTGCATACCCACGTATCTGGAAGGTGCCAACCTGAGAAAGGCAGATCCAAACATCAAATGCCCATTGGTCAGGTGGGCATGGAAAGAAAGTTCTTTTGGAAATGAGAAGCAAGCTTGGCACCAATTGGGGATTAGAGAGTGTTCAGAAAACTCTTATCTCTTTGGGTATATAGATACAGAAAGACATGTTTCTACTCTTCTTCCCTGTTACCAGCTTGTGCTCCCTGTGCCCCTCTTCCTTGTTCTAGTAGTAGACATGGTCAGTAGAGGATTCCATAGACTCTGGGAGTTAAGATTCATTTAAATTGGGATCCAAAAATAACCCTCTTTTGCTTTAAGAGCCATATTAAAGGTCATAAGTTAGCTAAGTATAGCTGTCACCAAGTTGCTCCTATATATAAACCACCCTGGAGCTCTGAAAATGACCATCTATTAAAGAGATCATATTGGCAGGGATCAGGTAGAAAACTTAAGAGGTGGGATGTATTTTTCTTCTGGAATTCACTGCCACAAAAGCATGGGAAAAACCACCAACGTGAACTGCTTTCCGGAAAAAAAATATAATAAAACAAATACCTGGACAAGAAACAACTGCCAATTAGACTATGAAACTCAGACAAGTAAAATTCCTTTTAAGTGGCAATGTATTTTTAGTGATCAAATACTGAGGATTAGCAAGAGGCTGGTATGAGCAATTTGTCTGCTTTGAAACTTCGTGGGCCAGCCAGTAAGCCAACGTCAGAACAGGGGCAGGTAATTCTGTCGTTAATTTGTTACAGTTTTATTACTTAACTTTCCCTCCCTTCCTCCCTCCCTCCTTGTTCCCTCCCTTTCCCTCTCTCTTTCTGTCTCTCTCCCACTCATACACTCTCTCACACACAAAAACACAGACAAATGTAAATTAATGCAGTTTTCCATAGACTTTTCCTAACATATGAACTTCTGCGCACGCATTTGTTTTTAAATGCAAATATTTTTCCAGTAGTAAAATTCTTCTCCCTCTCTCTCTCTCTCTTTCTTTCTTTTTCTTTTTTTTCTTTTTTCTTTCTTTTTTTTTTTTGCATACTTTTATCTAATACACATTTGAGAGGAAATCTATTTTTCAAATGTGATCCATGTTGCTATTTGCCTTCATTTCAGGCTTGTCTTGAGAGATCTAAAAAAGAAATATTGACCTTAAAAAATTCTGATGATCCAGATTTTTTAATCCCTTTGTCAGAATATACACTTATAGACAATGTTGATAAAAATGATCATTACTCTCACTAATAGTAAATTCAGCTGGGGAACGTCCATTGAAGCCAAAATATGATGGGCACCCCAGGGCTGACCTCTTGATGGGATGGCACTATCCTGAAGGGAGCCTATCCATGATCTAGGGCCATGATGGCGAACCTGTGGCATGCGTGGCATGCGCACCATTGCCCCAGCTCAGCCAGCTGGTCATTGGGTTTCCAAGGCGTGAATGCGCACCGACCAGCTGGTAGTTGGGTTTCCGGCACTCTGAGGTGCACGCACTTTCCAGTTTGGGGACTCTGTGCCTAAAAAGTTCACCATCACTGATCTAGGGTGTCTTCCAAGGTCACAGCTAGATGGATGGGGCAGAATAGCCTTTGCCAACCTCAGTTAGATTACCAGCTGTAGGCCTTCCTGAAGCAGGAGGACCATGCAGTTGTAATTCCCTCTCTCATTGCCATTTGTTTGGACTACTGCAGTACACTTTAATATGGTGCTCCCTTTAAAGACAACTCAGAAATTGTACTTGGTGCAAAATGCAGCAGTTCCAGATGTTAATTGCCAGTGATTCTTCTCTGAAACAACCCTTTCCCCCCCCCACAATAATTGGCCTTTAAAATGGAAGAATCCTCATTACAAATTTAGCAAGGAAGTTCTGATTTAAGTTCACCTTAAATTAAGGATCCCTTCCCCCTCCCTTTTTATTTATTTATATATATATTTTTTGAGAACTAAAGTGGGCAAAATTAGAAACAAAGAGTTGATGATCAAAATGAGTCATCACAGTAACAATGCATTATGGAAATGAAGTGTGTCACAGTGCATGGATAGGAGGAAAAGACCTATAGCTAAGATTGGTATGCTGTATATAATATGTCCTGAGTCTTACAGTTGTCTTTATTTTAAATAGTTTGTCTAAATTACTGTCTAAACTATTGTCAAAACAATTCATCTAAACTATATCTCCAAAACTTTGTTACCAAAGCTGAGTGCATAAATCTCTGTCCGTGAGGCTTCATCTGTGGGTTTGAATGAGGTCCAGTGGTCACATAGCCACTGTTTGAAGTTACAGCAGCATTGAAAAAAAATGATTTATGGACCGATCCTCACAATTACAATTATTACAGCATTGCCAGAAACGTGTGATCAAAATTAGACTGCTAGGCAGTCAGCATATTTATGACAATTGCAGTATTCCAAAATCATGTGATCGCCATTTGGAATCCAGTACATTGGTGAACATGGTGACAAGTCCAAACACAAATTGAAAATGTTCTTTCTTGTTTTTCCCATCTAGAAAGGGAATCCCGGGAGCATGAAGAACCAACCACTTCTGAGATGGCTGAGGAAACCTATTCATCCAAAATGTACAGAAACAAGGGGCTCGGGCGCTACTCTGAGCTAAAGGTAGAGGCATTGAAGAAAGACCGCAAGAAGAAATTGACCTTATCTAAGATTGTGGGTGGGGCAGAAAATACTGCACACCCTCGAGTTGCTGCTCCGGAGCTAAGACCAGAATTCGAATTGGTAAGAGCCATCCTTCCAAAGACCTCTAAGTCTTCCTTTCTCTATATCTTTTTGTCTTGCTTTTCTCTCTCTCATGTTCCTGCTACCTTTATTTTGAGTAGAGGCCATTAACCAGAAGAGCCTGGAATACTGTGAGGCAGACAGAGTTGGTGGACATCCAGCGAGACAGCATTAAAAGCTCAACATGAAGTGGGAAAACAGTAATCAGAACTGTTTTGGGGGCAGTATTGTTCAACATTTTTATTAATTATCTGGATAGGAGCCAGTTTGGTCTAGCGCAGAGGTGGTATTCAGCAGGTTCTGACCAGTTCTGGAGAACCGGTAGTGGAAATTTTGAGTAGTTCGAAGAACCGGTAAATACCACCTCTGACTGGCCCCACCCCAATCTATTTGCTGCCTCCCGAGTCCCAGCTGATCGGGAAGAAATGGGGATTTTGCAGTAACTTTCCTCTGGAGTGGGGAGGAAATGGGGATTTTGCAGTAACTTCCCCTGCCCTGCCCACCAAACCCTGCCCACCAAGCCATGCCATGCCCACCAAGCCACACCCACAGAACTGGTAGTAAAAAATTTTGAATCCCACTGCTGGTCTAGTGGTTAAGACTCTAGGCTTATAACGAGGAGAAGTTTCTCCTGGGAGGTCTGTGAGTTCTAGTCTGGCCTTAGGTATAAAAGGCAACTGGGTGACTTTGAGCCAGTCATTCTCTCTCAGCCCAGGAGGAGGAAGGGGTATTGTGTGGATTTGATACCTTGAGTTATTTATAAAAATAATAAATGTTGGATTAAAAATAAATAAATAAACAATAGGATTGGTTAGCTACTTATCAAATATTTGGAGAACAACATTGGGAGTTACCAGAAGTAACATTATGGCCAATACTCGGATGTCAGAACAAGATTTCAGTCTAATTTGGTTAGGTGGGAAGACTGGGCTGAGAAGAACATGATGTCTGTTAACAAGGACAAATGTAAGTTATTATATTTAGAGAGAAAAAATACAGGATGCATATACAAGATAGGAGACTCATAGCTTCGAAACATAACATCTGAGAAGGACATGGTTGTGGCCCTTGACAACAAGCTGCACATGAATCAGCCATATTCCATTTTCTCCTGATATTTTTACAAAAAGACAGGTGTTGTGGGTTTTTTTCATTTTTGTCACGTTGCTTGCATTGTTTCAATTGGCTTAAGCGGAGGAACAAACCAGGATCCTAACTGGCACCACACATGCTTTCCAACCAAACAATGCATTTTCCAATTTCTATGAGGTTATCAGACCTGCCGAATTTCAGATAAAAATTCCCGTTTTACAGACCCATACCATTTTGGGAGCTTTCTTTCTCTCTTGCTTTTTCTAGTAGCCTTTTCTATGAACTGGGCAGGCGCTATCAGAAAGTTTCTGTAATTTTGTTCCTGCTAAAAATTGCTGAGATGTGAATTCTGTTTGGAATTTCATTCAGAGAAATTTGTTTGGATCCTCAGGTTTTCATAACTTAAACCAGTAGGCTTTCTGGATCATGTTTACAGTAGTCAAAGTAAGAGGGAGTCTCTTGCTGCTTTTATGTGCCGAAAGGAACAATCATCATATTTCAAGAAATTTGGAGAAGGCAAAAGAACAGTTGGCATATTGCGGTTAGGAGGGCCTTTCACAGTTCATCTTGTGTACCAGCTGTGCCTTTTATTTGATCGGGAGACCCTTCAGACTGTTACTCATGCCTTGGTCACCTCACTTTGGATGAGTGCAATGTGCTTAACATGGGGCTGCCATTGAAGATCACTTGGAAGTTACAGCTGGTTCAAAATGCGGTGGCATTTTAAGCATTAACGGGCACCTCTTAATGTGCCCCTGTGTCTCTACTGCTATGCAAGCTGCCAGTTAGTTTCCAAGTGTAATTCAAGGTGCTGGTTGTTACCTATAAAGCCTTGTATGGCGTAGAGCTTGGATACCTGAGAAACAACTTATCTCCAATCGTTCAAGTATGTTCCAGCAGAATGAGTGCACTCCAAGTCCCCATCACTAATTATTGCCATGTTGTGGGACTTAGGAAGCTGCCTTCTCTGTTGTAGCCCCCAAACAGAATCCCTTTCCCGTCCCCCCAGATAAAGATGGCACCTTCTTTGCTGAGGTTCTGAAAAGCTTTAAAAACCTGATTTTGGCCCCAAGCCTGGGATTTATTATTTGTTCAATGCCCTCTGTTTTATTTTATTCATCTTGTTGTTTATCAGATCATTTTAGTCTGACTTGTCTGTCTGATTTTATGTTTTGAGCTGGTTTGTTTGTTTGTTTGTTTTTCAGTTTTGTAAAAAGTGGCCCAGAGTCCACTTTTTTTTTTTTTTAATTTGATTTATATGCCGCCCTTCTCCGAAGACTCAGGGCGGCTTACAATGTGCTCAGCAATAGCCTTCATCCTCTTGTATATTTATACAAAGTCATCTTATTGCCCCCACAAACTGGGTCCTCATTTCACCTACCTTAGAAAGGATGGAAGGCTGAGTCAACCTTGAGCCTTGGCGAGATTCGAACCCTGCAGTAATTGCAGGCAGCTGGTCTTAATAACCAGCTTAATAACAGAGTGCCTTAAACCCCTGTACTACCAAGGCTCTGTACCACTGACATTGGGTGGCCAATATGTTTAAATAAATAACAATATCAGTCTTCACACTCAGATAAATTGAGCCATTGTCAAGATTGCTGTCCCTATGAGTATACTCTGGTTAATCGGATCCCACGCTGGGAAGCTCTGTGTTCACTCACACCTAGCCTTGAGTTTCTTGGTATTCCTTAACCAACCTTTCTGTGGTTGCTTCTCTTTCTTCAGGGCCCTTGCCGTCGGCAAATGGAGGCGTCATTACAGGAGCTCAAATCTAGCCAGCGAATGATTCCTCGAGCTGTTCATCTTCCCAACTGTGACAGGAAAGGTTTCTATAAAAGGAAACAGGTATTATTTCCTGCTGGATTCAGAATAAACATGTATGCTTTGCAGATAAGGAGCAGGGAAAAAATTTGCCCTGTTTTTTTCATTGTCAATCCAGACACCAGATTTGAGTTTCCACCAATGGGAAACCTCTTGCCCTACCACCATTTTGGAGCTTTGAATCTCAGGCCATAGCTGAGACAGAAGTTAAATTTATTCAATTGTAGGAAGGCTAGAGAATACCCCAAAAAACAATGAGGAGAAGGCTTCATTTTAGATCCAGAATCCCTGAAATTGTTGTATATGCATGGTTCCAGATAGGATACTGTGTTTCCCCCAAAATAAGACTCTTGTCTTATATTTTTTTGAACCCTGAAATAAGTGCTTGGCCTTATTTTCAGGGAGGTCTTATTATTTTGGGGCACATGAAGCAAGACAGGGATCCTCTTGCCATCTTACCTGATTTCCAGCTCTGTCTCCCTAATCCTAACCAGAGGAAATAGCGGGGACCAACTGCGCATGCGGTTAAATATTTTCGGGGAGGCCTTATTTTTGAGGGATGGTTTATTTTCGGGTGAGGACTTATTTTTGGGGGAGGACTTATTTTCAGGGGAGGTCTTATTTTGGGGAAAACACAGCAGCTTTCCCCCTGTATTAGAGGGGAGGCCAGTCACCATCTCAGGAGTGCACTGCATAGCCTTCTCCTGCACCCCAAATAAATGAACCCCAAATAAATGAATTTCTGACCTTGGAGGAATATTCTGTAAGATCAGCCCTGCTGAGCTAAGTAAGGAGCTGGATTTACCTTCTGTCCTCCTCTCCTGATAGCTTGATGATAAGTTGAAAGTTCAGGTTAATTCCATCTGGCTAATGCAAGATGAATCAGGTGTTAGAAATGGCAGCCTGGCTATCCTCCTGCTCACTGTTGATCCTTTTCCTTCCCCTCTCTAGTGCAAACCATCTCGGGGCCGAAAACGTGGCCTGTGTTGGTGTGTGGACAAGTATGGATTGAAGCTGCCAGGAACTGATTATGTAGCTGGAGACCTGCAGTGTCACAACTTTGACAGCGGAAACACAGAATGAAGATCCCGGTTGCCTCTCTCTGCCAGAGCCCTTCCCCCACCCATCACCCACCCACACCTCACGATGCCCCAAAAGACTGATTCCTTTCATCTCATTTAAGGAACTGTGGACCTCGGAATCTACAGCATATGTCATCAGCTTCTCTCAGTGGCCATGACAGAGACTGAAGGAGAAAAGGCAACCCATTAAGGCGGAAGGGAAGGGAAGGGAAGGGAAGGAAGAAAGGAAGGAAGAAAGGAAGGAAGGAAGATGACCATGATGACCACCTCCATGGGACAGGGCCATCAAGAAGCTCATAGGCCACCATGCTTGCCCTTGACTCTAGCCTGCCACCCAGAGAAGCACTGACCTAGGAAGCTCTCAGAGGCACTTGAATAATAATTTCTGTTCTCCTTTCTTTGATATTGCAGTTTAAAGCCTTTCCAGTTTAAAAAAGTACTTAGTTTAAACAAACAACTCTTAGGACAAGCAGGCCTCTGGTTATCTATTATCTATTTGGGCATGTTTTTCTTTCTTTCTTCTTTTTTTAAAAAAAAAATATGTTCATTTCTGGAACCTCTTCTCTCTTTCCCCTAACAAGGACTAAAAGCATGTTGGTGCCCTTGCCCTCTATGACTTCCCTTTTATTAAAAAGCAAAAGGTCAGATGACAACAGAATCCTATAGTGGGATGAAGCAAAATTAAGAATTAAAAACTTACTGTTCCCAGTGGGTTTCTTTCCCAGGACAGCAAAAGGGTTCAACCTGATTATTTAAAGTGTCTTGTACAGTCCTTTCCTATGTAAATACAGATGTGTGCACAGATGTTTACTCTTTGTTCTCGATTGAACAATCCCATTTCCTTACATGCAAAGCCCTTTGATTTTAATTGTGCATGAAGGCCTGGCAACTTGCTCAGGGCTACATGCATAAGTCAAAGGTGTTCAGAGTTGGTGTATTTGCAGGAACAGTGCCCAAGTTGAAACATGGTTTGCCAGACATCTTGCAGGCACTTAAAGCCTGAAATGTTTGTTGCTTCTATAAACACACCTGTGGATTTCCACCTTTTGACAGGCTAAAATAGTAAGATCCCTTTGCTTTTTTGCTTTTGTTTTTTTTTTAAACTCTGGAAGGACACCTGATTCTTCACTACGATATCCCAAATGCCCTTTACAATGAAAATTCCAAGAGGCTGGTTGATGATTCATAAAATTACCCATACTAGAAATGTAAACATGATCTGTAATAAGGCCAATGTTTTACCATTTCCCCATATCTACAACATTCAGAGAAGTCTCTGTCAGCAAAGGCCTCTACTATTTCAAAGCCTATTTGAGTGACTGGCTGAAAAGAGGTTATCCCTTTTTTCCCCTGCCTCTCTCTCTCCTGACAGAACTTCGGCATCTCTAACAACTGCTTAGTAAACAGAAATTTAACAGTGAAGATTTGACCTACTACACTAATGTGTTATTTGTCCCAGGGAGAAGCTGTATCTATTTAATTTTTGACAGTGCCCCACTGTGAAAAACCTAGGGACCCTGTCAGGAAAGGAAGAGAAACCAAACCCATACAACCACTTGCAGAGACCATTGATTCAACAGCTTTGGCATTCAGGCTTGGGCAGACCACTAAAGCCGTTTAATTTCTTTGTAATTATAATTGTTGCTTTAATTCTTTGTTATGTTTCCATGGATGCTGCCATAACAAAGTTGTTGTTTTTTCCCCAATGCCCATAACAATGAATGAAAGGCAAGGCCACAACAAGAAGGAACAGCTCCCATTCTGATTGTGGGACGAATTCTTGAAATAGCAGTTGGCAAGAAATATTGGCCCACCATGATCTAACTAGCCAATATAAGACAGTCCTGAATATATTTCCCTTCCGAGAGAGGACTCTAAAGGACTTGAGGATCTTGCTGGGGCTGACTGCAAGTACTTCCAAGCCAAGTACTGATCAGAAACATGGAGAAAAAAAGCTGGCTTCCTAGGAGCAGGAACAACAAACTCACAACTGTCCAGCATCCAGAAAGGGTGCTACTGATGGGAGAACCAGAAGGACACCCATGATGCACAATACTCACAGCTAACACAGATGAAAGGAAATGAGAAATCCTCCTGACAGGATTGGCTATTGCATCCGAGTGACTGTGGTGGGTTTTGCTCCTTCACCACTAATATTCAACTAGGTTCAAAAACTACATTGGAAAGCTAATGAATATCTGGCATTAGCAGGGATATGGGAATTGGCAAGAAAAAACTGGGATATTTGGCCTCACTATGAAAGCAGAAGGTAGATGGGCAAAATCCTCTCCTTATAAGGATGGATGCAAACATTTATTTCTTCAGTAGGTATACATGTTTCAAGTCTGATTAGTTGTTGGTTACTATCAACAGAAAAATTCAGCTCTATCCATTTGTCCCACATCTTGATATCTGATCCAATTATTTGTTATTTCCAGAAATTGTCACCTCTAAGTGCTCCATCTGTCATCTTCCCTGGGCTTTGGCAGCAGTGGTTTCATAGCTATTCTTCTAAGAGTTGAGGCTCAGCCTACCATGAGCTTTCATACAAACAAATGGTTGAACTGAACTTTTGATTGAAATATTTGCTACTGTGACAGCTGGATCCAAGTACTTTCCCCGTTCCCATCCTGCTTTAGGAAGAGGATAATATGCCTAAATTTACTATCTCCACTGGGCTGGTAGCTGGTTGAATTGTTTCTGTCCTCTTCTGTTCTAAGAAAGCCCTGAAGTATTCTGCTGGCTCTATAATTAGTCAAAACCCTAAACCCTCCTTTCAAATTCTATAATAGATAAAATGCTAGAGACCACTAATGCTAAGTAATGACAGTGTAGCTCTTTTAGGAATTCTGTGCCAGCTTCTCCAACTTGGCAACTCTCAAAAGTGTTGGGACAGTGATCCTCAAAACCCCCAGGGAAAAGCTCTTCTGTTAGGATGGCATCAATGGCATCAAGTAGGAGAAGGTTGGTCTACATAATAAATCCAGAAATTGTATGAATGGACTTCTCCGTCCCAAGTATATGATGCATGAAAAGAGTACATATCAATGTGATGGTGAAAGGAGGAAGATTATGTGTGCTGTTGGCAACTTGAGGCACTTTTTTGCCAGCCTCTGTGGTAACTTATGCCCAAGCAAGAGATTTGTATGTGATTTAGATTTTCTGTCAGGTCTTCTATGAGGAGTTGGGAAGAGTTAAATCCAATCCCCATCAATTATTGCTAAACCACAAAGCCTCCTCAAGCCCTGAGGACAGAATTTCTTCTCGAATGATATCCAAATGGTAGTCAGTGGTCTCTTTGGAAAAATGGCCAGTGTTCCCAGTCGGGATGACCTAATATTGTGAAAGAATAATTTGTCTTAGAATTCCTTCAAATGACCAATCGCTGCCGTAATTATTCCTATCTTTACTCTGGGCCTGACATTTCCAGGGGAAGCTCATTTAGAAAACCCCTTTGCCTTCCATCAGTTATGACTAGACTAGACTAGGCTAGGCTAGGCTAGGCTAGGCTAGGCTAGACTAGAGTAAACTAGACTAGAGTAGAGTAGACTAGAGGAACAGAATGGTCTTTCTCATATATGTCATATCTGCTAACGTCTGACATTTGATGGTGGAGGTTGACTTTGGTCCCCTTTTGAATGAAACTGACCCTGCCTAAGGATGGGTTGGAGCCTCTTTATTTTCTATAGGGCAAGGATTCTTTAACAAAACCATTTGTCTCCATGCACACATGGAGCTAGCATTAAAGAAGAGAAGGTGAGGTATATACATCTGCAGGTACATCTGCCTAGAACATAAAGTGGGAGGAAATTCACTAGGCACATAAGAAAAGTAAGTGAGGCAAATTTACAGGTCATGCTGGGTTTCTATTACTTTACTATAATATATATATATAATTTTTGCTTAGCTCTTTCCAAAGTATGAGTGTCCAGAATCCTACTATATGACTGAATTTCCTAAGTTTCCTAGAAAGAGAAATAATCGTTTATTTAGAAAGAAAAAATATTGTTAAGTGTCAGCCTGAGATACAAATTCATCCTAAATTACCTAAGACGAAAGAATGTAACTCAAATGCTTCTTCCTTCCCTAGTTTTAATTCAAACCATGTTATTTCCTTTTCCTCCTCACCCACCATTCTTGATATGTATCTGTTGTTTCCTGACACTTGAAAACATTACCCTACCCATAGAAAATACCAGCTTTTCTTCCTCCATAAACAGACTTGAGGAAGATCACTGGTCTTCCTATCCGTGAGACACATAAGACAAATTCTACTGTCAAGGGAAGTGACTGGGGAGGGGATAATTTCCCCATATAATTGTTCCCTTGTCAGCCCCAATGCAATATTTCTGCCACCGCTGTTTCAGAAGCTCATCGATTGCCTCCAAGGATAGTCCCTTCATCTTGCTATTTGGCTGACTGAGATAAGAAAGAGAAACCAACCCAAGTACATTAGCTAGAGTAGAATCTCCCTTGCATCTGTATTATTTAATCTTGACTTAAATAGCCTGGGGATAGGTCACCATTGTAGACTTCAACCCATAGAAGTCTTCACTGGATTTCTTGCCCCAACTAAAATCTCACTAGAAATGCAACGGAGCTCTTTTTCTAAGCCATCCCTGCAAGCTTTGATTATTCTAGGAAAGATGAATATAGCAAATTTGGGGATAATATTCTTCCCCATGAGGGCAGCTATCATGAGAATTAACCTTTATTCTTTCTCCACCTACTAAACTCCTTTACCTTCAAATCCAGCCATTTGGAAGAAGGTGAAATTGCTTCAGGCAGTTGGTTCTGGGTAAAGATCATCTTTCTTTCCTGCAAAGGAGAGGTCTTTCTAGGTTTCCTGCCCAAGTTCCAAAATAATTTGATCAGACCTGCCCTAAGTGGAGGAAAAGGGAAGCAAGTCACTTTGGCCAACAACCCTGCTGCTTTGAATCCCATCTTTATCCTTGACCAAAGGGAGAAAGCTCCCCTGATTATTCCCCCTCCCCAACAATAAATGACCCTCCTCCCATTAGAGGAGCAAATCACAATGAGAGGAGGTAAGAAAAATGATAAAAGACAAAGCAGTGGGGGATGCTCCCTTCAGAAGTATAAACAATGGAAGTGCGAAGGAGGCTTTGGAGGCACCGAAGGTAGTAAATTCTGAACTCCAAGAGCATCATCAGCCAGTTGGGATTAGGAGCACACCTAGGCCTCTAACAGCCTTCTCCAACCTGAGGACTCTCCAGATGTGTCTTAACACTCTCCAAATCCTAAGCCACCCTGGCCAGACGTTAGAGTTTCAAGGCATCTGGAAAGCACCAAGTCAGAGAAGGCTTCTCTAGAGAGTCACACTGCAGCTGATAATATTCAAAAGCAGGCAGCTTCTAGAATAGCCCAAACCTATTTGCAGCCAGAGATCCTTTGTCAGTGCTGTGGTGGACAGTTGTATTTTGAAACCACTAGTTCAAAGAGGAGGACTGCACTATTTCTCCACTTCATCCCTCTCTCCTTCCTTCTTCCACTTTTAATAGAGCCTAGATAACTTCCGCAGTTAGCCAGTCACCCCAGTTCCCAGCTCCCTCCCCGCTTCTTGTTCGGAGCTGCTTGGCTAATGCCCCAAAACTTGAGTCCTTTCATTTCCAACCTTGCCCCCCCCCCCCCCTTTAAGCCCTTCCAATGCAATGATTACACCCCACGATAGCACAGTGAACAGAAAAAGATTCCGAGATTCCTGCCTGGTTTTGTTTTTGTTTTTCATTACACCATTTATTCACTACACATTTTACAGTAGCTTTTAATAGCTTTACATACATACATACATACAGTACCTTAGTTCTGTGGCTGTTTTGTTTTTGTTTTCCTTTGCAGTAAACAAGAATATTCATACTCTTACCAGTGGGGGGGAAATGCAGTTTGTGAAAAAAAAAAAAGAAACTGACAATGGATGAGGAGTGTAATGCTCTGTTTAGCATTTTGTACTTAAAAAAAAAAAAGAATCTCACATTTTATTAAAAGGTGAAGATTGCTGTATACTATTTATTCAACTTATAATTTATGTTACTCTTTGATCTTTGTCTTTTCTTATGACAAAGCATTTATTTAATAAAGTTATGCATTCAGTTAAGTCTGCGTGCATGGCCTAAAACAAGTCTGTGTGTTCAGTATACGCTGGATTAAAACTGGCCAGCCAGTTATTAAACGAGACAATGGAGAATCTTTTGAGTCTTTGGAACTAGCAAAGTATTAATGGCCGTGGACAAAAGAGCTACATAGAAATGGAGATGGATTAAAGACCTATTATTGCACAAGTCTTGGAGGATATTGGGCTGAGCATCGGAATTATCCTTCATTCATCAGGGTTCCCCACTGTTTTACGTCACTTTTCCACTAAGAGTCAATAGCATCTGCTTTTTCATGGGAGACAAGATAAAGAGTTTAGGGTATCATTAGGTCAAAGTCAGATCTACACCATGATGAGGCCAGATATTGTGAATCAAAATTATTCCTAACTAGACCATGAAAACATTTGTTCTATTCTATTGTCCTCTTTGGTGTAGTCACATTTTGCAAGATGGAATATTGATTAATTCGCTAGAATGTAAATAGCTATTGCTATTGTTATCAAGCTTGAAACCAGGAGACCAGGAGTTCTAGTCCTACCTTAGGCACAGAAACCAGCTGAGTAACCTTGGGCCAGTCCCTTTCTCTCAGCCATAGGAAGGACGCAAGGCCAAATCATTTCTGAAATCTTGCCAAAAGAAACTGCAGGGACTGGTCCAGGTAATTTCCAAGTGTCAAAACTGACCGGAAAATTGATTCAACATACATACACACGCACATGTATGCACATACATGTGTGTGCTTCTGCTTTCTGCCTCATGACAAAAAAAAATTGCCTTGTTTTTCTTACTTGGGTATTTTGCTGTTGATCCGTAACAAATTGCATTGTCCTATTAGTATTGGAATAGAGGAGATTCAAGGACATCCATCAAGCTGCCACTCTTGTCAACATAGCTCAAGTGTAAATCTTGGACTATTTCTGATGTGCATGGTGCGGAAGATAAAAATGCACACTACATTTACCCAGCTAAAGAGTTGTAGTTTCACTTCTTCCCATGAATACAATTGCTTTTGAATACATCTCCTGTATTCCACTATTATGATTAGTTTACTTCTCATTCTTCATTTTGTACAACTCAAAAATGGCATACATAATGTCCCAGTCTCCTATTTTCCCCACCAACAATGAGGTGGGCTGGGCTGAAAGAGAATAATTTTGTGCTTGAAGGAAGAATGCACATCTCCTGGTTTCTAAACCAGTGTTTCTCAACCTTGGAAGCTTGAAGATGGGTGGACTTCAACTCTCAGAATGCCCCAGCCAGCAGCGCTGGCTGGGGGATTCTGGGAGTTGAAGTCCACCCATCTTCAAGCTACCGAGGTTGAGAAACACTGTTCTAAACCGACACCTTAACCACGACACTCAACTGTCCCTTTTTTAAAAAATCAGTGAAACAATCATTTCTGTCATAACAACAAAGAGACTTGGGGAACCTTAAAGTCTGAGTAATCTGGAAGACATAAACTTTCCTTGAAAATAATCTCTATGGTGCCATAAGTCACCACTATTTAAAAGGGGCCGGCGGGGGGTGGGGTGGGGGTGGGGAGCATAGTGTCTGCTACTTCACCTCTGTCCACAAGAGGGAAGCACAGATTATCCAGCCAAGTATCCAGCTGGCAATACAAAATTACAAGTGAAAAAAAGAATGAGTTACAGAGCTACTGCCCAGAGAACAGAGTTACTGCACAAATGGTCATAAAAGTGCTACGTTATATTTCCATCATAAAATATAACAACCACAGAGTATACCTATCAGAGAAATGGAACAATGTGACGTGGTAATGCACACAATGTGCACAAATTCTGGTCCTATCTATCACTGCAGCTCTTTTTACATCCTCGGGGGGGGGGGGCCAGGGAATCTACAGATGTTCACATAAGAATTTAAAGAGTTGGCAAGAATCATTAGCAAGGGGTTATTTTTAACATGCATACCTATCTGGTACATCTATCTAACCCTGGTTGGTTTGAAGTATTGAATAAATATTAAGAGAATTACAGAGGGGGGTGAAATATACCTATCAATCAGTAGTGGGTTTCAATTTTGGCCGCTACTGGTTCACTTGTGGGCGTGCGTGCATACACGATGCTTCTGCGCATGTACAGAGATGTCCAGGCGGGTGGGCGGAACCTCCCACCGCCGCCGCTGCTGCTACCGGTTTGCCCAAATCCGGGGCAAACCAGTAGCAACCCACCACTGCTATCAATCTGTTTTACAGATTTGCTAAGAACCCAACACACAAAGCTCCTAGACCATGATGGCGAACCTATGGCACGCGTGCCACAGATGACACTCAGAGCCCTCTCTGTGGGCACGCGCGCTGTCATCAGCTTTTCTTCTGGTTTCCGGTGTGCACATGCATGCTGGCCAGCTGGTCGTCGCGGGCACCAGAGCGCCAGAAATCAGCCTGAAAACAGCCTGGAAAACAGGCAAAAAACAGTCCAGGGCATTTTTGGACCTTTTTGGGACCATTTTCAGGCTGTTTTCCAGGCAGTTTCCAGGACTTTTTCAGGCTGTTTTCCGGGCCATTTTCCGGGCCATTATCAGGCCATTTTTGGGCCATTTTTAGGTCATTTTCAGGCTGTTTTTTGAGCTGAAAACGGCCCAAAAAACACCCAGAAAACAACCCGGAAAACATCCCCCCAAAAGCCCGAAAAACATCCTGAAAACATCCCCAAAACCAGCCTGAAAATGGCCCCCAAAACAGTCAAAAAACAGGCATGCGCAAGCTAGCCAGCTGGTCTTTGGGTTTCCGGCACTCCAGCGCATGCACACGCATGCACGTGTGTTCCGGTTTGGGCACTCGGTGCTGAAGAGGTTCGTCATCACTGTCCTAGACCAACATTTGCACAACATCTTTTTCTCTGAAGTTTTTAGTCTATGGTTCATTGTGTTTGCAACTTTTGCCATCTTTCATACTCTTCTTAAGGGGCAGGGGGTACAGCCACCTAGAGATGGTTTGATAGCACATCCTACACCAGCATCTCCTAAGCTTAATTTATTTTTGATCATTAAAACGAAGAGCAATTAAAGGCCTCAAAAGATGCTATTATTGATGCAGCTCAGCCAAGTAGAACTCAGTAGCCCACCAAACTATCAAAATTGCACCAAACAGAAATACCCTGTATTTTGCTCTGGAAGTCTGGGGGGGAGGGTGGGATGGGAAGGGGGGAAGGGGTGTGGGGGTGGTGGGGAGGGAAAAAGGGTGGGGAGAATATTGGGGGGGGGGATTTTCTTTGTAAAACTTTTCAATAAAAAAAATTGCACCAAACAGAAAAAAAAAAAAAGAATTGATCCTATCCTTGAGATAAATTTTAAAAATGATAATAAGTTCCGGAAGTTCCAGTTGGTGCAAAATGCACCGGCCCACATAGTTTTGTGCAGATCTCGGTGTGCACATGTATCACCTCTCCTGCGGGAGCTGCACTGGCTGCTGATTTGCTTCTGGGTGCAATTCAAGGTGCTGGTTGTCACCTTTAAAGCCCTTCATGGCTTGTGACCAGGTTATCTGAGAGACCGTTACTTGCTGGTCACATCTACCCGACCCATCAGAGCGGGGAGGCAGGGAATGCTGTGGGTCCCATCCCTGAGGGATATACAGCTGGTAGGACCCAGAAGAAGGGCCTTCTCCGTGTTGGCTCCCTCTCTCTGGAACATCATCCCCACAGAGATTAGAATGGCCCCCACTCTAACACTCTTCTGGAAGGCACTGAAGACCTGGTTCTGCCAGCGGGCCTGGGTAATCCAGAGCAGGATGGAGCCCATTAAATGGCTTGTGTGATCTGCTGTTGCCAGAGCAAGGAGTATATTAATTTATTTGATTCTTTTTATTATTTTTATTGCTTTAAATGTGATTTTATATTCTGTAAGCCGCCTTGAGTTGCCATGGGTGAATAAGCAGCAATATACATTAAATCAACAAATCAACAAATCAACAAATCAACAAATCAACAAATCAATAAATCAATAAATCAATAAATCAATAAATCAATAAATCAATAAATCAGTGTTGGTGGGATCTCTGCCCACAAAAATCTCTTTCAGTTCCTATGACTTTTTTCTTACTTCCCTGGATTTGCAGGCTTGATTTGCAAACATTGAGATAGGATCAGGGCAAAACTTGTTTCACATTAATAATATGGTATGGTACTTTTTCAAGCATCCAGCAGACTGAAATATTTTCATTGGTCCTTGTTCCAAAAGAATCTTGTTGCTAGCCAAAGCATATTTATTTCTAATGCCTGCTTTTGATGTCAAGAATGTGTCCCATTATCCCACTCTGTTCCTTTGGTTAAATTCTAATACCAAGAAAAGAACATTTTCTTCTTATAGTCAGACAGAAAGCAACTTGCTTTCTCAGCACCCTCAACACCACCCCAAACATGGGACATAATACCAACAGGGAAAGTTGTTCCCCAAACCAATATATATTCCCCTAAGGCTACAGTAGGACATCTGAGAGTTTCTGATTTCATTAATCTTGATATGTAAAGGGGAATAATTATTAAGGAGGACAGGTGATCAGGAATCTAGATTGATTTATTGACCGAAATAGAGTTGGGGGAACAGAAAATAAGGAGAAATATTTAATCCTGGACAGGCTATATATGGGGTTGTATAACAGATACTTTTTAAAGAAATCCCATCTATTCAGGTCTTTCAGCACTGGATCACGAGCCGCGGAGGCGCAGTGGTTAGAGTGCAGTACTACAGGCTACTTCTGCTGATCAACAGCTGCCTGCAGTTTGGCAGATCCAATCTCACCAGGGTCAAGGTTGATTCATCCTTCCATCCTTTCTAGGTGGGTAAAATGAGGACTCAGATTGTTGGGGGCCAATGTGCTGACTCTGTAAACTGCTTAGAGAGGGCTGTAAAAGCACTATGAAGCGGTCTATAAGTCTAAGTGCTATTGTTAAGTGCTATCAATGCATGGAGGCTACAAAAGAACTAAGTTAGTATACGTCCATTCCTTAAAATTTTTAGAAATTAGCTAAAGGGTGGAGAAATGTGCTAAAAATGATTGCTGGCC